GCGCCACGGGGCCGGCCCAGTTATTCTTTATTCCCCTTCTCCAGTCTCTCCCTTTCCCTCTCTCTCTTCCCCTTCCCACTTCTGATAACTGTAGATTTCTTCTCTCCTTCTGAAAGAGTAATGGTTACTCTGTTGATTTGTTGCGTAAATGATTTGCCCAGTGCTGAGAGAGGTGTGTTCAGGTCCCCTACTATTATCATAGAGCAGATGCTTCCTCTGTCATTCTGGAGTTGGCTTTGTGGAGAGAAACGTCCCCTTCTTTGGTCTCTGCTGGCGACTCTTCTTGTGTCAATGCACTTGAGTGGCAGGCGAGCCATCTGCATGGTGGTTGTGGCATCTAGCCACTTCTGCAGCAGCTGTGGCTATTGTGGTGGCTGTGGTGGGCCACCCACATGGAAGTGGTGTTTTTGGTGTGCTCCTTGCCTGGATGCGGAAAGAGGGGTTCATCCCCAGCCTCATGACTCAGGACCGTGAGTGGGCCCCATCTCTATGAAGTATTATTACCCCCATTTTATAGATGAGGAAACTGAGGTTCAGAGAGATTAAGTAACTTTTACAAGGTAATGTAGCCAGGAGACTAACTCCAGAATACAGGCTTGTAACCACTCTGCTATGTTGTCTCATTTGATACTGAGTCCTGTAGATATTGAATGACGTGCTCAAGGATACGCGGTAAGTTGCTCAGTCTTGGAGCAAACCACACACCCCGTGTGTCCATCATGCTGCTGGATAGCACCCTCCACACTCCCTGATCCTGATCAGCTCCATTGCACACCAAGCAAGTCCTCATGAGCACCTTTAGTGACCTTGAACACCAAGAAGTTTACAGTACTGCCCAGTGAAGTTCAAAATAAAACAACACTGAATTCTGAAATAAAATTTTACTCCCGAGAAATGATACAAAACATTTCTGCATCCTGAAATGAAAGGGGGTTCTTGAAATTTTCTGACTTTATTTTTGGCCTATGCCTTGCCAGTGCCCTGTGCACGTGCTCAATCTTTCTATTGGGCTCGCCAGCCCTGCTCACGGGTTCCACCCTCCCAGCTCTCTGTCCAGTGGTTCTCTTCTGACACCCGCAGTGGCTTCTCTAGATCTGGCTCATTTTCTCCAAACCCCAAATCCCCCACACTGCAGAGAAACTTAGCTTCACGTTCAGTGAGATAGAGAAGCCAAACCTGCTTAAGGTTCCCATTTCCTCCTTTCTCACCTCAAAACAAAGAAATTGTAACTAAAATGTACTGAGCACTTGCTACCTGCCAGACACTGTGTTAAACATGGGATAGGCACTTTTTGTCACATAAAGATCACAACAAACCATGAGTCAGATATTATTATCACCTCAAAATTGGTTAAACAACTTGCCCACGGTCACTGCATCAATTAGGGTTTCGACCAAAGGACATCCTTTGGCTATTTGGCGGTTCAGAGAGTTCCTAGAGCCAGGCTTAGAAAATGGCCAGGACCCAGGGAGAAGGCGTAGGTGGAGCCAGAGTGAAAAATCACCCTGTGGTTCTAGTCCAGTGAGGACACAGCCAATACCAAACCCTATTGCTTGGGACCCTGAACTCTACACTTATTTGTCCTGCTTCCCTATTGCCCCTGGACACTGGACATCACCGTGGGCTTCTTTGCTGAGATGAATTTCCATTGTTTCTCCTTCCTGGAATCATGAGTTCCTGATTCAAAGAACAAGAGAGGGTCAACCGATTGGCTGAGCCCGGGCTGTGTGCTCACATCCTGCTGCTGGGGAGGCAGGAAAACACGTACTTGGACTTTTTCAGTGTTATGGTGGGAGGCAGCTCTCCCCCTCCCCAAGACCCATATGGTGGGGGATTACCCCCAAACGGAGAAATGGGTGCAGATGGTAGACAGACAAAAACCAAAACAAACAAAATGAAACAAAACAGTTAAATATCTACAGCAGTCACACAGGTAACAAGTAGCACAGCAGAATTTGAATTCTGGTCTGTTTGACATAAAGGTTTGAGGATTTAAGAACAGTGCTATGCAGTTTTGTTCCATAAAATCTCCTTCCTTTAAAAAAAGAAGATCTCCCTCTGTCGAAGCCCGGCATTTCCATTTAATTCTTTGACTCCATCCCCTTCTTTCCTTGGAATTTTTAATCAACAAACCCTTCTCTCTTTTGTATTTTCAATAGTTCAAATTATACAGAGTTCAGATAGTCCCCAGCTTACAATGGTTCAACTCACAATTTTTTGACTTTATGATGGGTTTATCAGGGTATGAGATGCATTTTCTACATGTGATATTTTCAGCTTAACAATAGGTTTCTTGGGACATAACCCTATTATAAGTTGAGGGGCACCATATTTGGGAGCCAGCCAGACCTGGGTTCAAATCCTGGATTCCCCCATGTAATTACTTGAGCAAAATGTTTACCCTTCTGAATTTTAGTGTTCTCAGAACAATGGGGAAAAAACTCTGTTTGGTTGTTGTAAGGATGGAATGAGACAATATATATGAGACATCTGTCACCAAACCTAGCAGAGAGTCAGAGCTCATAGCTAAGCACATGGCTACTTCCACAGCTGGGGTTGGGGAGGGTCTTCTCTGAGGGTTTCAGTCTTTATTGATTTTTTTAAAACCTTTATGTTTGTACTCTCTCAGCTACAATGCAGGCCTTGTCCTATCTCCTGGGGACTTGAAACTGCCTCCTTACTAATCTTCCCTCTCTTGCCCCTGCCCTGACAATTATCTTCAACGTGGGCTGTCAGAGCAATTTTTCTAGGTTAAAAATAAAAAAGTCCATATGTTGGTCAGAACCTGGTGCTTAATAACATCAAGGTCCAGAGTTTGGTCCCTGTATTGGCCAGCTGCCCGAAAAAAAAAAAAAAAAAAGTCTGACCATGTCATCAGGGTCCTCTCTAAAAGATCTTACGGTCACTCATTGCTTACAGGATTAATTCCAAAGCCCTGAGCATGGCCTTTAAGGCCCCGCATCACCACTCAGCCGTGTGGCCTCACCTCCCTCCATCCCTCCCCTTCTGTCTCAGACATTCACAGCCACAGCTGTTTACGGACCGTTCGCCTGACCTTCCTCTATGGAAATTTGCTTTCTATTCTCCAGTCCTCTGTCCACCAGAAAGCCCGTCAGCGGTTCACTTCACCTAAGTCTCACTTTTGTCATATGTGAGTTGGGGGTTTACATTTTCTACTTCTCAGGATTGTTCTGAGGATAAGAATAATGATAAATATGATGATAATAATAACAAGAACGAAAACCAACAGTAATAGTTAACAATTATTCAGCACCTACTATGTGTCAGGTACTTTGTCAGGCACAGTTTACAGAAGTTATCCCATTTAATTGAATTAGATACAGTTATGATTTGTATTTTATCATAGGTGGCTCAGAAAATTTAACTTACTCAAGATCAACAAATGGCAAAGGAAGGCCAACACTCAAATCCAAATCTGTGTGAAATCAAAACCAGTTCTCTAAGCCTAATATGCAGCAGGGGTCTAATGTATTCTCTTCTCTCTTTGTCTCCTGTCCTAGTCTCTGTTCAAGTTCTGTCCAAGGCCCAGACCTTATCCAGCTTCTTCAGACACTTGGCTGCAGGGACACAGTCCACCTGTTCTCTCTACACTCTAGAAGGACTTGGGTTGCTTCCCCATCAGATCACACCTCATAGCCTTACTCAATGTATAGGTTACGTGCCGTCTACAATTATTTATTAAAATAAGTAATATTTATTTATTGTTTACAAATATTTATGAAATGTTATTTAACATTCAATGCCAGGTGTGTCAGAGAATGCTAACTCTCCCCCAGCGTCTGTCCTCCCCTTCTTCTTAGTAAGACAACCCCTGATTTTAGCTAGCCATGGTTGCCCAGAATAAAGAAAATATTTCCAGTCTACCTGTGGCTATGTGTGGTGGTCTGAGTGAGCTCTGGCCAATGGACTGCAGTGGAAGCATTGTGTGCAGCTTCTGAGGGGGGTCCTTAAAGGCAGAGGAATTGTCCTTCATTTCCTTCTCTCCCCCTCCCTGATGGCTGGGCTGGGGTCTTGACAGTGGGCACTGGAGCAGCTCTCTGGGATCATCATATAGAGCTGCCTGTTGAGGATGGTGGAGCATCAAGCCAGAAGGAGCCTAGCTCCCTGCTGAATCGTGAAGCTGCTCTTCTTAACCGTTTACCCATACTTGTCCATTAAAAAGAAATCAAAGTCTGTCTTTTGGAATCATTATTGTTTAGGAGGAATATCTGTTAAAACAGCTGAATTAATATCTTAATACACAGGTGATGTTGTGGGTACTAGGGTTACAAGCAAGTTTCTGACATTCTAAATGATGAGACAAAAATCAAACATATAAAATAAATTTAAAAAGAACAGATAAATCTATCAAGGTCACAAAACAGATTATTAGGACTCAGAGTGACTGGGTGGGAGTGGCTGTTATCTAGGGTGACCCGGGAAAGCTTCCCCAAGGAGGTGACATCTGAGATGAGATTGAATGGTGAGCAGGAGTTGTCCAAGGGAAGGTCTGAAGGAAGAGCTTTAGAGGGAGAGCAAATGACAAACGCTAAGGTCCTGAAGCGGGAACGAGATTGGCAAGTTCAAGGTTCAGAAAGACACACACGTGTGTCCTTCTGTTAGGAAGCTGAGAATAAGAAATTTTTAAAAGTTAAATGTTTCTTGGGCCGACCCCGTGGCGCACTCGGGAGAGTGCGGTGCTGGGAGCGCAGCGATGCTCCCGCCGCAGGTTCGGATCCTGTATAGGGATGGCCGGTGTGCTCACTGGCTGAGCACGGTGCGGGCGACACCAAGCCAATGGTTGTGATCCCCTTACTGGTCACAAAAAAGAAAAAAAAAAGTTAAATGTTTCTTGATATGCATTTATGTATGAGTTAATTAATTCCTTTGTGGGTCTCAAGAGGCCCTGTGGCTCTCATTTGTCTTTCTGCTTATCAGGAGGGAAGGCAACTTCTGGCGTGAGTGCTGGCCACTTTCCCACACTCTCATCCTGTGCTCTGCTCAGACATCTGCTACACACTGTCCTTTGGCCTTGCTGACCTCACATAAATCCCCTCCTGCTCTAATTCACTGCCCACGGCCTTGCCAATAAAAGCGAGGCTCATCCCTGCTGCAGGGAACTCTATTTCCATCCCGTGCAGCTCAGCCGCCTTCTTCTCCTGGGTCCTGCCAGCCATGAAGCTTCTTCTCCTATTTCTTGCTATTCTTCTGGCCATGGAACCAGTGACATCAGGTAACTTGGGCCTCTCTTAACGGTTTAGGATCTTGGTCGTGGGCTTTTCCTCTTTCCCTCTCTTCTCACTGTGAGCAGCATCTGCAGCCTTTCCTCCTTTCATGCAGCTTTGGGAGGTTTCCCCAGGATCATCTCATATCAATGTCTTCCTGATTCTTCTTTTGCCAAAGTGGTGGGACGATAGACGTTTGGAGCATCTGGCACTTAAGAGCAGGCTTGGCATTCTGGTAGGAGCTTGGGAGAGGCTTTAGGGTTGAAAGATTGGGTGTGGATTGGGGACTTCTGGAGATTAGATTGAAGGTTGGGGATGAATTGTGATGGCGGAGAAAAACCTTGGGATTGGAGTGACAGAGGGATTATTAGGATGAGCTGGAGGTGAGAAGTTTGGCTTCCCTGGTGGTTTGGGGTGGGTTAGAGGGGGAATGGGATTCCGGATTGAGTGGAGCTGGTATTGGGCTAGGACTGAGGCTGAGGCTGGGTCAGTGCTGGGTGATGTAGGGTGTTTGGGTTCAGCGTGGTGGTTTGGGGTGGGTTAGAGGGGGAATGGGATTCCGGATTGAGTGGAGCTGGTATTGGGGTTAGGCTGGGACTGAGGCTGAGGCTGGGTCAGTGCTGGGTGGTGCAGGGTGTTTGGGTTCAGCTTGGTGATGGGCTGCTGCTGGGATTTGAGGTTGATGACTTGATTAGATTTGAGTTTGGCTTGGAATTGGGGCTCAGGGGGGCATTGAGTTGGGTAAGGCCGAGAGTTCTAATTAAGGTTGGAATCCATTTTGGGTTTGAATTGGGTGAATATGGGGTCAAGGAGGATTGGAGATTGGGTTGGCTGGAGCTGAATCTTGCTGGGCTTAAGTTAGACATAGCTAGGTTATTGATAAGGAGCTGGGTCTGTTGTAATGTGAGTGAGTCCCCTTTGTTCCCTAATTGATCCCCAAATAAGGAGTAGAAAGTTGGGGGTAGGAAGATAGAAAAGTGGGAAGTATGAAAAAGGCCCTCCTGCAAACTCTGGAGTTCCCAGTTGGAACAATTGTCTCAAATCTTTCCCTTCTGCCAGTCTCTTCTCTCCTTTTCTGGGATTTATTCGTCCCTCTCCCCTTAATCCCCATCCTACTGGTCCTCCTCTGCCTCCTCTTGTCTCTGCCCTTGAGAGATACTAACATCTGCTTAATGGTTGTTTCTATGCCCCAAAGGAGAATGTTGGATGGACGGACACTGTCGGCTGGTGTGCAAAGATGATGAAGATTTCATCACACGCTGCCCAAATCGTAAACGGTGCTGTGTCCTTAGTCGTTATTTAACAATGAAACCAGTAACAATTGATGGAGAGCTTGGCTGGACCACTCCTCCTTCTCAGACATCCAAACCAATCAGTAAAAGGAAGCCAAATAGAAATAATGTATAGAAATAATTTTGTTTCAGGTTCCACATTCCATTAAAACTCACAAATTTGTTTCTTGTGTCTGTCAAACATAAAAAATGATACTCAAGATGAATTGAGGGTGGGGAGATGGCAGGATGGGGGTTAAGAGGTGGGACAGAGAAGTTGCAAGGGCTGGGCCACAGCACTGGCATGACGATTATAGCCTTGAAGATGGTTTCTCATCTACCAGCCCCAGAAGAGACTGTTGAGTCAGGAGTGGACTGAGGAGAACACCAAGGGAGCCGAGAGATTTAAAGGCACGGCAGATGCCTAGAGAGTGAGAGAATCTTTGGGCTGGGAGAGTTGGTCCATCCTTGGGGTGAGTGGGAGGGGGTGGACAGGGGCTGAGCAGAGCCCAAATTCTCGCTTTTTTAGGGAAGTCAGCTGAGATGCCTTCTGATCCTCAAGAACCCACAGCCCCAGGGATCAGAAGTTTTCCAACTATTACAAAAAGATAAAGCACATTAATTTACTCATTTCTATGTGAATTTGTTCATTATTCATTTTTTATATTCTCTCGTGAATTCATTTATTTATTCATTCATTCACCTCAGCAGCCACTAACCACTGGCATACTCTGTGTATAAACCTCTTGGAACTTCAGCTTCCCCATCTGTAAAATTAGAATAATAGTGGAGTCTATTTCAGTATTATGGTGAGAATAAAAGGAGATAACGCAGAGCACAGTGCCCGGTACATAGTAAGCCCTCAATGAATGTTAGCTGCTGCTATTGTTTATTAATTTATTCAAGCATTTATGGAATATGTGCTGCATGCCTTCCAACTGTGTTAAACTCTGAGGGAGATAGAAACCTGCCTCATTTTGCACTGGTAAGTTAGCCTGGGAGAAGACTAACTCATGGGGAATATTGAGGAATCCTGATTGGGAATTTAGAGGACCTGTGTATCTTCCCAGTCTTTATTATGTCAAATCCTATTCTCTAGTCCTCATTTATCTAAAACAGTTATTCTCCCTGCACCGTGTTCTCTGCAGCGAGGTCAAGACCCTGGAGTGCTCTGTAAAACCTAGTGCATGGCACAGACACGGACAGAAGGAGTTCACTTTGATTCAGGAAGATAATTTGCCCTCAATTCCATATTTCTGTTCTTAGACTTTGGAAAGAGAGATCCCTCCTCTGATCCTGGTCTTACTCTGGGCTTCCTCTGGCTAAGTGCTTCCCCATGGGATGAGGAGTTGCTGGGTGTAAGGGGCTTATGCCCACCTGTGCCTTCCCTCCCCACTGTCTGGATCATGCTTTGAGTAACTGGGGCCTGGGATTGCCTGCCCAAAGAACCCTTGTGCCTGCTTCCAAGGAATGCATGGATCTGGAAGGTGGGGCCCACTGGGTGTGCACCCATAGGCAAGAGAGGTGCCAAGAGACACTCCTGTTTTCAGGGGCTGTGGGCAGAGTTGGGGATGGGTAAGAAGAGAGGTGGGCAGCGGGCTGAGCCTGCTCCCCTCGTGCTGCTATGTTCCTGCATAGAACTCTGAGGAGTCCGACTCATGAATTCAAATCTGACTTTTCAGGTCGTTTTGAAGGTCTATGTCACAAGGAGGGAAAGGATATATTTTATTTATCCCTTTTGTTATCTAGATTCATAACTTGTCCCAGGACCCACAAATGTTAGGGTTGTGCCTGGCGCTTGGATCCTGCTCTGGCTTCAAACCTATTTCTAAGCCCACTTCAGAGGCAGAAGCTGCATAATCTGTGTTTTCACAGTCTTGACGCCTGTCTGTGAGGTGGGGACTCTCAGGCTGCACCCAAGAGCTACCTGTGCCCTGAGGCCCTGGGCAAAATCACCCAGAATACTTCCTCACTGTGTTCCCTGCCCACAGGTTTTCTCTGCACTAATTTCGATTATCGGGGGGATTCTTTCTAGGAAATTCATCTGAACGTGTTGCTCTCCTGCTTAAGAGCTTCCTTTGCTTCTCACTGCCCAGAGTCCGGGCGTTCAGGCCTTCACATGGTGACTGCCCCTCAGACCTCTTCAGCCACACCAACCCTCTCACCATCTGCTCCTAACCCTCACATGGCCTTTGTTTATGGTTCCCCTCAGCTTGTCCCCATAACCCGGCTCATCTCTGTGATGAACAACTCATCCTTCGACGCCCAGGTGATGCCTCTGCCCATGAAAGTCTTCACGGGAAGGCCGTCTCACTATTTCTTTTTTATAAAGAAAAAATTATAATAGTAATAGTTATACTAATTATAATAATAATAGCTACTATAATAATTCTCATTGACACTTGTCATATGTCAGGGCTTGTTGTTCATGGGTCCCAAATCATCGTATTCTTGCAACAACCCTCTTATTATTCCTATCATACTGATGAGGAATCTGAGATCCAGAGAGGCCATATAATCAGCTAAGGACACACAGTATTTAGATAAAGTAGGGATTCAAACTGAGTTCTTTTTCCCCCTTTGTTACTTGTCTTGTTTCTTTAATACAGAGTATAAACTGTTACTGAGTAAATAGCAGACATTTGATTACTGCTTGATTCTAAATATTGTATGAAAAAGGAAACATTCCTTAGGCATGAGCGGAATTCTGCAGTAGAGAAAGGATTTTTAAGATGAGGCAACAGTGAGGGAGGCCTGAGACATCACTCCTTGCCTCCTTTAGACTTTTTTAGTCTCCACCAAGTGAAATAACAGTCTTCTATCAGTCTGTTAATTTGTATTCCTGGTGCCTAAGGCAGAAATGTTCATTTGCTGTGTTGTGGATTCACATTTATTCCTGATTAAAGTGAGATCAGTGATCAATAATTTTTTTTAAAGTAAATTTCAATTTTATTTTTAAAATTCATGATAAAATTGTCTAAATTCAGTTGGGATAGTATCTTCTGGAGTCTACATTTCTTTTTTTTTTTTTTTCCTTTTTGTCTTTTTTTGTGACCAGCAACGGATTGCAACCCTCAGTGTCGTGCCCGTACCGGACCGGGACCGGCAACGGGATTGCAACCCTCGGCGTTGCGCCCACACCTCGCTCAGCCAGTGAGCGGCCGGTCTGTATGTGGGATCCGAACCCTCGGCGGGAGTGCCGCTGCGCTCCCAAGCGGCGCACTGTAGCAGTGCACCACCGGGCCAGCCCAGGAGTCTACATTTCTTTAAATGGAAGACAGAATTAAATCAGATGAGGTTGAAAACAGAAAGAAAAAAATGAATTATTGTTCATTTGTGATCCGTGAGGGCATCAAACTTTCACAAAACATGAACAGTGGAAAAACTCAAAGTCTCTGAACATTGGAAAAAGATGTAAAGCATTCATGTTAGAGGTCTGCATTTCATGTACTTAGAGAGGAGGGATCTCGAGTGATCCTTATCAGCACATAAATTGGAAATATCTGTCCAAATTCAGTATTTTATACCATAGTTGTAACTCTCCCCTTCAATGTTCACCATGATTTTGTCTTCCCATATCACATCTGTTACACTGTCATTTTTATTCTCAGACCTTTATAAAAGAAAACTTTTCTTTCCTCTTGTAGTTTACTCTCAAGAAGCTCTTGTTGATAATCAAATCTCTCCGTGTGTTTACTTTTTTTTTTTTCCTTTTTGTCTTTTTTCATGACCGGCAACGGATTGCAACCCTCAGTGTCGTGCCTATACCGGACCGGGACCGGCAACGGGATCGCAACCCTCGGTGTTGCGCCCGCACCTCGCTCAGCCAGTGAGCGGGAACCGGTCTGTATGTGGGATCCAAACCCTCGGCAGGAGCGCCACCGCGCTCCCAAGCGGTGCACTGTAGCAGTGCGCCACTGGGCCGGCCCCGTGTGTTTACTTTTGAAAATATTTAAAGGTATGCTTATCTATGAAAGAAATGGTAGCTAAATATACAATTCTAGCTTGAACAGTAATTTCTGTCAGCACTTAATATTTATTTCTCTGTTTACTGGCTCTTTATTGTCTGTGGAAATTTTGATCTCATCTTTGTAGATTCTCTCTTTCTCCAAACTGAGTTCCGATTGGCTTCACAAACTGTCACTCTTAAGAAGTTATGATACATATCATGTTATTGTGTATTTATCTGAGTTATTATCCCCTTCGCACCAATCTCCCAAGCACACACATGTTAGGTGGAAATCCTCAGAGGCTGAGACATGTCTTATTTACACAGGTATGCCTGGAGTGAAGCCCAGTGCTAGGCAAAGATGTGATTTGGTGAGTGTTTCTTGGTTGAATAAATAGATGAATGATGAATTCACTAGTGAAAGCATGAATGGATTTGGTAGGGGCACGAATGGCTGGCTAATGCCAGGTTCCAGGAATCAGGGTGGGATCCTTTTGGGCTAGAGGGAGCAGAGGACCACTGTTATCGGGCATATTTGGCTTTGGCTGGCAGTGTTAGAAAGGATGCAGAGGAGTTTCTAGGTCTCACTCAAATTAGTTCTTATTCTTCAGTTAGTTTGCTGTTAAAACACATGGACTTCACAGTGTGGGGGTGGACTGGGGAAGGTTTAAGGATCCCGGAGTATGTGGTGCCCAGCATTAACCTCTCCACACACAGCCATTTAAGTCCCATCAAATCCATTCATTAGGAATCATTACCTTCTCACTCGGTCAATAACATCTATGAAGAACCTCCTCTGTGCTTAGCACTGGGCGTCCAGAGGCACCCTGGGGAGTGCTAGAGTGTTGGGGTGAGAAAAGGGCTCAGATCTCGCCATTAAAGTTTTCAGAAGACACTAAACTCCACGTCTGAATCTTTGGACTTGGAGTTTGAGCACATGAAATTTCAAAAATTCTCAGATTATTCCTTTGGGAGATAAAGCGCTCTCTCTCAATTCCCCTGCCACACTTCCTTCATTCTTAAAAGCCCTCAAACTGTGAGAGTTTTGGGCAACCTTCCTCTGTCTCCCCATTTCACAGATGAGGAAACTGAAGCTCAAGGGGGAAGGGTGACCTACGTTCATAGGCAGTTTGAGACAATGCTGGGATTAATAAGCAGGTCTTCTCTGACTCTGGAGAGAGGCTTAGGGAACAGTGAAGACCATATTGAGTAGATGCGGGTGATAGATACACTGA